CGGCCATTGACGTGGGCGTTGTCTGCTGACGTCGTCGTCGTCCGCTTATGTGGTCGTTTTCCGCTGACGTGGGAAACGCCGACGCTTGATTTGGGCATCAGAAATTCCGTTCTGTCTCATTCCGTGGCTATTCCTTCCGGGTGATCACCGGAATCATTCCGGCGGAATTTGAATTCCATTCAAAATTCCGCGGAATTGTTTGATCAATTTGGCAGGGCCCTCTGCCAAATTTGATTCCTCTGGAATTCCAGGAATTCCCCGGATTCCGCCGGATTCCGGCAGGAATCAGTGGAGGACAATAAAGACCTCATAGACCCCACGGAAGCTGATTTTCCTGCAGCCTTATTGTGAAAGGGGTTGAAGGCGTCGTAGCTGAAACTCCAAACGGTGCATATTTCATCCTCGCAGTCCACAAAAATTTTACCGTCGACTCCTTTGAAATTGAAATTGCAAATGGCAGATGCTTGGCTTATATCCCGGATCTCCGCCTCCTTTGCCATGCATTTACGTGTTCGACAAATCAACTCTTCAACTCCCGGACGGCTGTAGAGTTTCCCAGCGAAGTCCGTGAAACTCTGCATGACGTATGGTCGAATGGGCGCCCGCATGCTGACACCCCGCTCAATACACAGCTCAGTCAATCGAGCATTACAAGCGCGGCTCGTTGGGAAATGTTTAAATGCGCACTGCGCCGCATATGTCTGTTTGCCGTTCACCTCAGTCGGAGCGTACAGGGAGGAGCATGTCAGGCAGGTGGCAAAGGTAGTCGTGACTGGGTCTAGGTCAAATTTTTCGCGTGCGGTTCGAATATCTTGAGGAATGTCGTTCCAGATGGAATCGTTGAGGGTGAGCTTGAGAAGCTGCTTCATCATTCTCAAAATGAAATTGCATGGTGATCGCGTGACATTAGCGACGACATTCAACACGACCGCAGTAAACATGACGACGAGTGCGACAGGCTTGAGGTATTGGAGTGGATGATCGAAATGACAATCTAGCAAATATTAGTAAGTCAATCAGTAAAAAACATTTCACCTACTCACCAGTGTTATAATAGTTATCAGCTTTCTCCTTTTCCACTTCGATTTCTTCCCACTTCGACAAGTGCTGTTTAATTTCTTCGGAAATGTTCTTGGTGCGCTCTATCATAGCATTCATAAAATATCTGTTGACATCATCTCCTCTCGCTGGAGCACATTGCAAGCATGCTCCCAGGTCAGAGAACCAGGCACACTCCATCTGCAAAAACTTGGCGGCATCTCGCCTCGTCGAGAAACGGGCCTCCATGGATTGACGAAGTGCACCGTTGGGATCCCATTCGGCCAAGACGGTCTTGGTCTCCTTGAAATGATTGTCGATTTGTCGGTCAAAATCGTATAAAACTCTAAACGCTCCCTCTTCTCGATCAATACCACTGGACGGAGAAGATGATGTGTTGGCTTTGGGAACGACCGCCGGAGAAGGTGACGTGTTGGCTTTGGGAACGACTGAAGGTGAGTTGGTGCTTGACGCATGCAAGGATTGTTGAGGATCCTTATTTGGAGTTGACAGGGTGTCCAGCAGTGTCATCTTCACAATATCCCGCTCAACTTCCTTCAAGGCGGCTTCCTGGGCTATCTCGTCAGAACGTGCTTTGTGAATACGAAGCTCAGCATTTGACACAAATTGGCCATTACATCTGAAGGCGGTGCAGAAGCACATTCGCAGTCTATCCTTCCCCAATCTCGTCATATGGCTTTGATAAGAGAGGGTTCACGAGGTTGAGGAGAAGAATGGTTGAATTATTTCAATGCGCATTCGTGTACTTTTGTAATTCTCAGAAACGAATTTGATTGGTGTTTCTTATTTCCTTTTAAGTTATAAGGGCCAATTTGTTGTACGCGACCTTGCACGCACGCGACCTTGTAAAACTCATAGTGACTTTGTCTTGTTCTCCATGCCAACGTAGCTCAGATATGTATTGTATTGCCAACGTAGCTCGGATACATATTTCATACAGCAAATCCGACGCTTTCTGGGCGCAATGGAACGTACCAAGTCATTTAGCCCACTCACACTCCGGACGATCTTCGCTGATGAACCGTTGCGTCCAGTGCACCAGCAGAGCATGCGGCGGACTTGGCCATTTGAGTCCAAAGCCATCCCACTGATTTCACAAGCCAATTCCAAGGTGTTAATCCCAAAACCTTCTGGTGAACTCGGGCGTCCAGGCCGAAACAGTTACAGTCTATCAACAGCGTTAGGTTGGGAAATGTTAGTGTACAAGAAAGTGCAGGTATGTCATTTTCAACGTCGAGACAATTCCAGTTAACGACTTCTATTTTCGAAGACCCGCGCCAGGGAGGAAGTGAACTCTATCCTCAGGAAAGGTGCCCCATTCAATGCCCAGGATTGTGCAAAAGTAAAATCTGTTTGTGACAAGGTAAGTTCTCAATATTTGCGTTCAGGGTAGCTAGCTAAGGGGGGTCAGCTCCGAGAAGAGTTTCCGATACTCAATCTCTATGAAGGGGATTGGGCCGCCTTAGATTTTGTTCGCAGTTGTTTAAGAAATGCCCCGCGCTACCGAGAACATCAATTGTAATAAAACCCCATTTGTCTTTAGTTAAAAATTGTACAAATGTGAATAGGCAACAGTATGAAATGTGCATAAGTAAAGATGTGCATAAGTAAAGATGTGCATAAGTAAAGATGTGCATAAGGAAAGATGTGCATAAGTAAAGATGTGCAAAACTGTATAAATGTGAATAAGCAACGGTATGAAATGTGCATAAGTAAAGATGTGCATAAGTAAGAGAACGGACATCAGACGAGTATGTGCTCCTTATGGATCGTTAGTAACTCAACAGCCAATAGACAAGTGTGACTTACATATGAAGGGAGTTCTCTTGGTGATTTACGATCCACCTGAGCCCGCTGTGCCGGCGAGAGTCCCCTCAACCACAAGTCGCAGTAGTAATTCGAGGGGAGGCCAGGTACACAGAATCGTCTCTGCGCCGGCGTGTATTGTTGGGTTCTGAACAATGCGCTTGGCTCGAATATACGTGTGTGAGGGGAATTTCCAACCCTGTTCAGTCTACCTTTGCCGTACTTCTCAACCGCATTCCACAGTTCGGAGATGGCAGGGCTGAGCCAGGTCTTCGGAACGTGATGGACGATTTTGGCCTGGAGGCCTGTTTGTTCAGAGTCGGTTTCGTCGGAGCTCATCCCATCTTGGCCTAGCTCTGCATGGACCTTCTTGAGTTTCTTCCAAAACTTTGTCGAGTTTGTGTCCTTCTGAGCCTCACTCTCATCATAGCGACTCTTGATAATCGCACCCCGTCGTTCGAAAGTCTTGATTCGCAGTTAGTGAAAAGTGAAATTGTTTAGTTGATATAATAACCTACCCCGATACGACAGCTCAAGCGACGTCCCATCTTTTGTTGGAATGCCTTCTGTGCTTGAAGGCGCGATTTCTTTTGAGCATCATTCTCCTTTGCATTGGCCGGTGGGGGCTGGAAATCCTTATAGCTTTTATGAACACGGCTGAGTGTTGAAACGAGCTTCACTTTGATGTACTTCAGCAAGGTGAAATCTTTGTCCGCCTCAAATAACGCAGAGTTAGATGACTCATTAAGGATACCGCGAAACTCCATTGCCAGCATATACGCCAATTCATCGTTCCAAGCTGACTTGAAGGTGCTGAACCAGTCGAATCGGGGAGTCTCCACCGAGGGACCTCCCTGGTTATCTTCAAGGAAAAGATTGATTTCAAAGGAGGATGGAGGTGCTGGGAGGTCTTCAGGTGAAGCCCGCAATCCTTTACAGGTGAGGTAATCCCTCAACAAAAACTGAGAGAGGACATAAGCGAAAAGGCAGACGGAAATATAGATCGCTTTACATTGAACGTGTTTTCGGCGACGCTTTGCTTGCCAGGTTTCTTTCTTCCTGCCAATCTGGGCTGGGGAACTTCATCGTCGTCATCTTCGTCGTCACCATCGCTATTGTGCATATTGATGTCGATATGTTCCTCTACATCTTCAGGATCATGCTTCGCCCGGGGCGACGATGCTTTGTCGAGGGCGAAGAGGACTCCTTGCTCAACCGTTTTCATAATAAAAAGCCTTAACTCCGGTGAAAGCTAAGAAGTTCCTTGAGAATGCAGGACTTGAAATTAATGGAGGAATATTCACCGTGTTAAGGTTTTATGGCGTAGCATAAGGTGCTTCTGCTGATTGGTTCTGCCGGGCCGGGGTAGACATTAGGCTTGAATGGTCCATATTGGTCGGGAAGGGAGTTTGAGCTCGATGAGTGACTGGGGAAGTCATCCGCACAGAAGAGAAAGGCGGAGACGCCATGGGTATCCGGTTCTGCAAAGGAGATGAAGGTGGGGGAGACATAGAGACTACAGGTACAGCGGTGGAAGATGGAGAAGACATAGGCATCCGAGAAGGAGAGGAAGTGGGGGGAGGCATGGAAGCCAGTGGTGTCTGGTACTGCAAGGAGGAAGAAAGCGGAGAAGGCATAGAGGCCATGGGTATTTGATTCCGCAAAGCGGAAGGTAGAGTATCGGCAGGTTTCTAGAAGTGACAGTGTCAGCCAGAGTATATTCAGTTGGTTGTTTGAGTGTGCTTACGTCATAAGAAATGTCATATTGACTGGGAATGGACATCGAGCCAGTGTGATCCATATTAAAATCTATGTCTGTGAAAGCTTGGAAAATGTCCCCAGCTGACGTTGGTGGGGCAAATTGGGAAAGTGGAAGATGGTCGTGATGACTACGAGCCTGAGTTGGGGATGGAGATTGAGGAGTAAGAGCGCTATCCATCTGAGTTGCAAGATGAGTACGAGAGGGGTCGTAAATGACCACTTCAGATGAAGCTGGGGTTGGCATGAGGTCAGTCGTATTGGTTGGAGTTGGGAGGGAAACATTGGACGTATCCACTGAAGCGGAATGGGGAGGCGTGGTCTGTGGATTGTGGGTAAGGTCAGCCACACCAATTGAGGTTGAGGGAGGGGCATGAGGCGCGACGATTCCGCCCATCGAACTTGAAGCTGGAACTTGGGGCCTATGAGCTCTGTGCAGATATGACGGAGGCACCTTGAACATTGTGAGCTCGCGCGGTAATTCAACAACGATAAGCATCACCTTTAACCGTCTGCGGACAGCGAAGTTGCTAGCAGGCACAGAAGACGGCCCAAGGGGTTTCCGGATTATGGCTACGGAGGGGCCAACAGCATCGTTTGGGACAACCGAGCCATCAACCGATTGCATAACGTTCTCCTCGGAATTTTGTTGGACAGGATTATAGATGTTATTGGTAGCCACCTCAGCTGGAGACAACGGTGGGGCGAACCGCGAGAGTGTAGGAAGGGTAGACGGGTTGACAGTGGCGGGCCAGCTGTGCTGTTGAAGGGGAGGCGTGTGATGAGGTCGCTTATTTGGGCGGGAAGGTAAGGCGGGATTCATTGTGGATTTGTTGGAAGAGTTTGTTGCTGAATGTCGGTCGTATGTTGTTAAAATTGATTCTGACTTCGAGATCTTAAAGCCTAGGAGGTTGTTAAGGCAAAGACAAAGACAATAACGCGTAGTCCTGGGGTAGCTAGAAGACAATCAGCTCAGCGTTTCTTAGTTCCTGACTGACTCACTTCTTCAATCCATAATTGCCATGTCAACGACTTTGTTCTCCAGGCTGGCAATACTTATCACTCCCCCACCTATTCCTACTGGACTCCGGGACTCCAGTAGGATTCCTACTGGATTCCTACCGGATTTTGACAAAATTTCCAAAAAGGCATTTTCACATATTTCTCCATTCCCCCTCCTACTGGACTCCTACTGGACTCCAACTGAACTTAAACAAATTAGATGAAATGCTCCACACATTGAAGTCCTACTGGATTCCCACTGGAATATCAACTTCAATGTATTACCAAGTCAGAACTTCAAATTTCTATTCAAAATTCACATTTAAACAAATGTTGTATTGTGAAATGACAACTAAATACAGAAAGATATTTTACTAATGTAATGAGGGAGGGGGAGGGAGTGATGGAGTGATGGAGGGAGTGGTGGAGGGAGAGAGCTATGGAAGGAGGGGAAGTGAGTGAAGTGAAATGATGGAGGGGGGAGGGGGTGAGAGAGGTGGAGAGAGGAAGAGAGGGAGGGAGGGAGGAAGAGAGGGAGGAAGAGAGGAAGGGAGGGAGGAAGAGAGGGAGGGAGGGAGGAAGAGAGGGAGGGAGGGAGGAAGAGAGGGAGGAAGAGAGGGAGGGAGAGAAGGATGGTGGGAGAGAGAGAGGGAGGGAGGGAGGGAGGAAGAGAGGGAGGGAGGAAGAGAGGGAGGGAGAGAAGGATGGTGGGAGAGAGAGATGGAGGGAGAGAGGGAGGGAGAGAGGGGAACAGAGAGAAGGAGACAGGGAGGAGAGATACACTGAGTCGTCGTTTCGTGGGCGCCGTGTCAATTGCACACATAGGTGGGGTGTTTTTCGAGGGCGGCGGATGTCGTTTGTGGGCGGTGGGCGTTTTTCGTGGGCGGCGGTCGTCGTTTGGGTTTGCTGGGTGTTTTTCGTGGGTGGCGGACGTCGTTTGTGGGCGCTAGGCATTTTTCGTGGGCGGCGGATGTCGTTTGGGTGTGCTGCGTGCTTTTCGTGGGCGGCGGTTGTCGTTTGCATGGGCGGCGGCTGTCGTTCATGGGCGCTGGGCGTTTTTCGTGGGCGGCGGTTGTCGTTTTCGTGGGTGGCGGGCGTCGTTTGTGGCGGTGGGTGTTACGGTCGTCGTTGGCGGGTGGGAGCGGGTCGTCGCTGTCCCTCGTCTTTCTTGTTTGTCGTGTCGGCGGGCGCTCGTGGTTCGTGGGTGGTTGTCGTGTCCGTGAGTGTGGTCGTCGTTGCGTGCCGTGGTCGTTTGTTGTCGTCGTTTGTTGTCGTCGTCTGTCGTGGCCGTCGTTGTTGTCGTGGTCGCGTGTTGTCGTGGTCGCGTGTTGTCGTCGTCCGTTGTGGTCGTGGTGGGCGACGTGTTCGTGGTGGGTGAGCAAGAGGGTGGTGATGGTGGTGTTGTCGAGTGTTGTTGGGTTTGGGCAAAATTCCCACTCGCGGAATTCGCCGACGTCCTTTCTAGGAAGGAGGTCAGTACGTTGGTATATAGAGCATATAATAATGACCT